GGTCTAACGACTACGGCATGCACGACTATGAGTACACCCCCCCCCTCCCCATCGATGTTTGCCATCGGGGTTGGGTTTTCGTCGCTTGATAACGACGTTGTAAAACAAGCCAATTCACTTTGTGACCTCGGCAACCAGGTTACCGTTTCTTTTTTTTTACCTCCGGTTTTTTTTTGGCCGTGACCATAATGGTGGTCGAGTGGATCATGTTGTGCGGGGTGGAGAAGCCTCACTCTGCGCAAGGGGGATGATCGCACCACGTTGTGTTAAAATGGTCAAGCACCCTCGAGGCAGTTACACAGTGCTTACAACTTCTTTTGGAAGTGAACACCAGAAAATAAATCAAGTCATCCGCAGCTGTCATCCGCACGCAAGGAAGTAAGCACAAGGTGCCGAAAACCCTCAGCGGGATGCAGCGCACCCTTTATACTACTCGCCGAATATCGCACGGCGCTTCGCGCTTGGTGATGTGAGCGCCTGGTCCGGTGAGAACCCGGCGTGCTCCGTCCCGGCTTTGTAGGGATGCGAGGTCAATGGTCAAACGACTACGGCATGCACGACTATGAGTACACCCCACCCCCTCCCCCCCCTCCCCCCTGGTGTTTGCCATCGGGGTTATGTTTTGGTCGCTTGGCAACGACGTTGTGAAACAAGCCGCCGCCCCCGGTGTGTGCCATCGGGGTGGTTTTTTCGTCGCTTGGTAGCGATGTTGTAAAACAAGCCGATCACTTCCTGACCTCGACAACCAGGTAACCGCTTTTTTTTTGCCTTTGGGTTTTATTTTTTGACGGTAACCATGAATGGTCGAGTAGATCATGTTGTGCGCGGTCGAGAACCCTCACTCCGCGCAGAGGGGATTATCGCACCACGTTGTGTTAAATTGTCAAGCACCCTCGACGCAGTTACACAGTGCTTACAACTGTCTATGGGAGTGAAAGCACCAGAAAATAAATTAAGTCATACTCAGCTGTCATCTGTACGCAAGGAAGTAAGCACAAGATGCCGAACACCCTTAGCAGGATGCAGCGCACCCTTCATGCGGCTCGCCGAATACCTCACGGCGCTTCGCGCTGGTTGATGTGAGAGCCTGGTCCGACGAGAACCCGGCGTGCTCCGTCCCGGCTTTGTANCCCCCCCCCCCCCCCCCCCTCCTTTCCCATCCCGCCTTCCTGCGTTTTAGGGATGTGAGGTCAACGGTCCAACAACCCAAAGAATGCAAAAACATGAGACTGCGAGCCCCCAGGACTCGCAAAGTAATTTGCAAAACACGAGAGTACGCCCCCCTTAACCTCACATCTTTCTCCGCGATCTTCTTCTCCTCCTCCTGCCGCTCCCGCCTCCTGCGCACGCTCTCCTCGTGCTCCCGAGCGGCCCTCGCGTGCTCCGCCTCCCAGAACGCCCGCAGCTTCCCCTGGAAGGCAGGCGCGCCGAACCCGCTTCCGGCGGACCACTCGAGCGCGGCCATCGCGTCCGGGTCGTCTTCTCCCGCCGGCACCACGACCGGAATGGCGCACTCGCAGTGGAAGCACACCCAGGTGTTCTTGCCATGGAGCGCGCCGGGAGTGCTCCCGGGGGGCCGGTGCTGGAGCGCCGGCTCGAGGCACTGCGGGTGGAAGGCCCCGCCGCATGCCGAGCAAAGGGCGCACTTGCGCCCGGCCGCTAGGCCGCACTCGGNGGGGGGGGGGGGGGGGGGGGGGGGGGGGGGGGGGGGGGGGGGGTCGACTCGGGGTTTGTCGGCGCAACGAAGTACTGCGAGATCGGCGTGGGTTAATACAGGGAGCGTCTACTAATTTTGGTGGGAGGGACTGCAACGCTGAGGTGGTGAGGAAGCGGGACCCGCATCATGGTTCCCGGCCTTTGCGCTTGTGGCTGTTTCGGGGGGCGGAGGTTTCTGCCACATGTAACTAGCTGGCGAGAGATAGACCGGGGTTGGGGGGGGGTGTACTCATAGTCGTGCATGCCGTAGTCGTTAGACCATTGACCTCGCATCCCTACAAAGCCGGGACGGAGCACGCCGGGTTCTCACCGGACCAGGCTCTCACATCACCAANGGGGGGGGGGGGTACATGTTTCAGCACGACAGAATTCTGATCCAAACACAACAGGTGTCGCGTGACCACCCCCCTCAACTCCCGTACGAGCTACAAAGAGACACAGCGAACATGTTGTCGCACAAAGGCGTGGCTACCAGGTCATTACAGCGCCAAGCACAAGGCACGTACTTCGTTTGGCTTTGCGAAAACGACTACTTTCCTAAGGCTTACCTCGTAGACTGCCTTGGTCTTATCGAAGCACTCCTGGCAGACCCAATGCACGACATCCTTGCTCTTCTTCTTGTTCAGGCACCTGGTGTGGAAACCCCTGTCGCACGCGGCGCAGAAGATGAGCAGGTTCTGGTCCTGGTCTTGCTCCTTGCCCTTGCACTTGGCGCAAGACGCCCGAGGGCGGACCTCTTGCACCGCCGCCGCCGCCGCCGGATTGGGAGGGGGGGCTTGGGATTGCACACCAGACGACTTGTTTTTCTTAGTGTCTCGGGTGGTCTCCTCGTCCGTGTCGGTGGTACCTTCGTCCCCATCGTCATCAGCGGCGGCGGATGCACCGGCGGCGCCACCGGCCTTTCGCTTGCCCGTGGTAGCAGTTGTCTCCACTGCTGCTGCTGCTGCTGCTGTTGTTGCCGCTGCTGCCCGTCCCTTTCCCTTGCCTGTGGTCGAAGCTTTCGTGGCGCCTACCTTCTTGGAGGCCGTCGGTGCTTGCTTCTGCTCTTCGTCGTCGCCACTGTCGTCGTCGCTACCGCTGCCGTCCGAAGCCGAGCCACCGACATCAGAGGCAGAGGAAGATGAGGAGGAGGAGGTTGCTGGTGGCGGCGGCGTCGGGGTCGCTTGCTTGCTGGCCTTCTTGGTCTGCTTCCCCTGCTTGATGCCGCCGTTGCTGCTCCCGCCCCCATTGGCGACAGTCGCCTCTTTCGATGCCTTGGGAGCACCTGAGCCTTTACCCTTCTTGCCTTTAGCCGCAGTCGATGCTTTGCCGGGAGCCGCCGCTGGCGGTGGCGGTTCGGTGCCCACTCCGGCCTGTGCCGCAGCAACGGCGGTGTTGCTGCTGCCGGCCCCATTGGCGAAAGCCGCCTCTTTCAATGCCTTGGGAGTGCTAGAGCCCTTTGCCTTCTTGTCCTTAGCCGCACTCGATGCTTTGCCGGGAGCTGGTGCCGCCGCCGGCGGAGCGGCAACGGCTCCGGCCGGCGGCGCAGCAGCAACGGCGGTGTCGTCGTCCTGCCGCTGCTGCTTCTTGGGCGTCTTGTTCTTCTTCTTTTTCGCTTTCGGTTTGTCGGGGCTTGTCGGCGCCGACGCTGCTGCTGCTGCTGCTGCTGCTGCCTGCCCGTTTGCTGCGTTTACTGCTTTCGTCGACTTCGTCGTGCCCCTGGTCGACGATGCCGCCGGTTCGGCTGCCCCGTTCGCCGTCGCCGACGATTTGCTGGTATTCGGATCGGGAGCAGCTGCTGCAATATCGGCCGCAGCGACAACTGCTTCTTCCTCTGCCAGCACCAAGTTCGATTTCGACTTCTTACCTGCAGCAGCGCCCCCCTTGCTGTTGCCTTGTTTCCTCTTCCTATTCTCCGGGGAGGGCACGCCTGCTCCTCCGCTCCCCGCAGCCACACCCTTAGCCTTCTTCGCCATGCTGTATTCTCTCAACGCGCCAGCGAAACAATCACCCCGGCGGGAGGAAGAGGCCACAGAAGTGCTCCTTGACACCCAGCGACGTGCTCAGGACGGGGCTGACGAACTCTGTTGTCTGGGAAAGGGTACCGCCAGCGATTGTTCTCCTCCGGCGGTGGTGGACCTGCTGTGATCGACCGAGTACGCAGATTACGGATAAGGTCCGCCAAGAAGCAGCCAGCTAGGTGCTGGTGAGAGAGCTTGCTTTGGGAGACAGATCTCCTAATAGATCGAACGGCGAACGCACAGCCGGGAAGTTTGAGTGACGCTGCGTCTTGACACTTGCGTTGCCAGCTGTCAGCAATGCTCGCTCCCCTGCACGCATGTTTTTCAACGTCGCAGCATGTCCTCGAGGGGCTCATCGTATTGGAATACGCAGGTTACACACTGCATTTCTTTTTGAATATCTCACCATTGAGCCCCCGGATCTCCGAAGATGTGCTGGGGGTGCTGCTCGATACAGCAGTAACATGCTGCAGCAATATAGTGCTCTCTCAACTCTCTGAACAAGCACACTCACCGCTGGGATGGCAGGACGCGGAGATGATGCAGGAGCCGCTGGAACCGACAGGACAGAAATCTCCAATGCTATTGCAATCATGCACCCTCGCATCATTGGCACAGGTTGGTCCAGGTTTACTATCGAAATAGAGCGAGTGAACCGGCCAGTTGCCGCGTCCTCTCCTGTTTTAGCGATTGGACCCACAGCTTGTTTTCCGAGTAAAGCTTTCACGACTCCGCACGTCCGTAGCCGGAAAAGGAAAAGTCGATTGCGCCGAGAACGGCCCTTTTGCGCTGTGGAGGCGGAGTCACCTGGACACACACATGATCTGCAAGGGCTAAAATTTGAAATATTTGGACTCTGAGCTGTGATGGTGCTCATCACCAATCAGCGGTAACATCTTTCATCGCAAACCCATCACGACGAGACGAATGGGGAATGCTGTATTAGAGCAGCAGTAGAGGCACAGAATCATGCTCTCTTGCTGCTTCGAGCCTCCCCCCATCAGCCACACAAACCTACTGTAAAACCATCCGACTCATCGAAAGGCCGTGACGATTCCTCCGCCGAAAAATCAGGCGAAATGATAGACCGCAGGTACAGCAGTAGTAGGACGATTATTTGTAACCATTACTGCTGTGTATAGGTCTCATCCATTTGTAGATTATTAGTATTGTCTGAGACACAGCGGTAGGCCTCCGGAGAGCGGCTGCTCCGCAGTGCTAGTGTGCGAGTGTCATCCTAGACCGACTTTCATAGCCCGATTGCTCCATGGCCGTGAAGTTGCCGATGCCGAAATGGGGTGGTATCGGAAACAATCCAACGAGAGGTTTCCTGGTAATGTTCGGTTTTAGCATCCTTCGTTGTTGAGCAATTAGCTTTGATTCTCCGGGATGTGCGATGGCTCGCACCTTGATGGTATGCGCGTGCACGATACGATCGCATGCGGAACGTGCCGCGCGGTAATGACCTCTCTCTATCGCTCTCGCTCACTCCCTCGCTCCCTCCCTCTCTCCCTCTCTTTACTCTCCCTCTCTTTACCTATCACACCTATCTCGGCATGCACACCTATTGCGATACAGCTTTTATACACCACCCTAGGGTGACCAATTACCGACGTAGAAGTAGTGCCGCAAGTACGCGAGCGGACCGCGGTGATTTCAGACAGCCAGGCCCACACCCGATACACCGAACGGAAGCATGCTTTACCACCACCACCACCGACAACCAACGTTTTTGTCGCCAATGCCACCAGCGCTCGAGAGGGGCTTGCGCGCCGTGGCGAGGGGGACCCGCGTAGCGGAGACGATCAAGGCCGACGTTGTGTGAGTGATATGTACAAATCCTCAAGCCGTTTCGCACCTTTTGTTCTCCAGATTCTCCTCGTTGTGGTCCTCACGACAAAACTCGGAGTGACGACGCCGCCCCATATTTCGGATGTCTTGTTTCGCCCGTGAACACATTAGTCAACTGCGTCTCGCTGGGGCTAGCTGTCATTGTTGCCTCCACGTTGAAAAGAAAACCCTTGTAGGTTGACTTCTCCCTGCTGTCCTCCACCCTCTCACGAAAAAACCCTATGCTGATTTCTCCCTTCTAGGTTCCACCCTCACCATCTCTCGTCACGACGGTAGTAGTGTATTTCGAGGTTGTACAGAAGGCTTTCAAGACCAAACGGGTGGTTGCAACACGAAGCCGGCGACAGCATTTTCCGTCCCTACAACCTCCTGTGAAAAGGCAGTATTGCGTGTCCTGTGCGCGTCCTCCCGAGGAGCTTTTCTAACCCCTTTTTGCCTCCGCAAATTTCGATGCACCCCTGCGATGGAAAAACAGCATCAGCACGGGGGGAGGCACCTGCGCCTTCCAGCTCCACACCAACTTCAGCCACGGCCACGTCGTCGAGGCCGTGAGTCGTGCTCGCGGCCTAGCCGCCGGGTTCGAGAGGTGCTACGTCTTGCTGGTCCGTCCGAACACCGACGCTCTGCGAAACTTCCAGGCAATGAAGAGCGGCGCGCGCCCACGTTAGCGTGCAACCGAAGGGGCGAACGTGGCTGTGGTTGGTTGTTGGCGGTGCAACAACTCGCCGCATTCTGAACTACTACCCAGGCGGTGTTGTGTATGCGGGCAGTGAAGCCCCGCCTGGATTGCACGTAGCGTGCTGCCGCGAAAATGATTTTCGTACCCGAAAGGGTTTGCTCTACAAGTCCGGGAGTTGGAGGTGTGACTGACGTACTTATTTGACCCCCACCTGCAAGCGCATGGTCCCGTCGTGAGGCGCGTTGACGCGACGAAATAGCTATATTTGCGGACAAGGGCCCGGGGTACACTGCTGGGAACCGACCTGTAGCGGTGGGCGGTGCCTAGCTGTGAAGGCCTTCACCTGCGTCAAGAACTTGTGACCCACTTCGGTTGGATGTTTTGTCCTTCATGAAGCGTCTCCTAATTTTTTTCCTTCTCTCAAGAATTCCCCACAGACACATCGATGCTCCCACAATCGATGGCCCCTCCCTGCCCCGTTCCGTCATGCACCAAGCCGGGCGTTAGAGCTCAGGCTTCGTCTCGAAGCTCAGCTCCTCAAGTGCCAGCGAATACCCCCCCCGCCCCCTACTGCTTAGAGCCTGGTCCGGTGAGAACCCGGCGTGCTCCGTCCCGGCTTTGTAGGGATGCGAGGTCAATGGTTTATCGACTACGGCATGCATGACTATGAGTATGAGTACACCCCACCCCCACCCACCCCTTCCTGCTTTCAACCGACGCCCCTTCTCCTCCAAAACAACACCTCTACCTTCCCCCGCGTCCCGAAACTTGCAACTCATATTCTCTTTCGCAGCTTCAGTTGTCTCCTGCCTGCGACGCCAGGGTCCTGCTGCTTCCCTCGGAGGAGCTCCTTGTGCCCGAGATCCAGAGGGTGTCCCAGGGGGTCTTCAAAGCCACTGCCGGAGGCCAGAGGAGGGAGTACTACAAGCAGGCGAGCCACGACGTGAAACATTTGTCATTGTTTGTTGTTTTTGTTGTTCTTGTCCTTGTTCTTGTTCTGGTTCTTGTTCTCGTTCTCGTTCTTGGTGGTGGTGGTGATTGTGATAATGATTCCTTCCTGTTGGTGCCCACTCGCCATAAACGGTGTCGGGTGTGCCGGCCGCCTGGTAGATGTTGCCTTGAAGAGGGTGGTCGACGCACGCCCTGATTTTTCTCCCGTCCGCCTGACAGCTTCGCCAACACCATGGTGATATTGTTGTCTTCGTAGAAACCGGTCTACATTTGTGCACAAACAGCTACTCCTCGACGACAGGGTCATTTTTTCTTCGCACCAACCTGCAGTGTTTGTTCCATCGACGGTGCGGGTACATTCTCTTCTCTCGATTTTGTTTCCACGTCGGAAAAGCAAGCCACGATACGTCCAGTTCCAACAAGGACTCCTCGTAGTTTGCATAGGCTATGGCATCGATGCTTCAAACAGCGGCATATGTGCGTACACGTTTTTCACCATTCCTCCTCCGCAGTTGCACCAAAAGCTTCGTCTCGATCATCCGCACCGAGGCATTCTCGCGGAGCTCCTGAGGGGCTTGGGCGTGCCGGATTGGCGGCAAGAGGCGGACCTGCTGCTGGACGCGTTCGGCTCTATCAGGTGCCTCTCGGGTTGTTGTTGCTGCTGCTGATGCTGATGCTGATGCTGCTTCTTGTTGTGGTTGTGATAAGGTTGTTGTTGTTGTTGGTGGTGGTGGTGGTGGTGGTGCTGCTGCTGCTTTGTTGCTGTTGCCCTTGTCATGTTGTCGTCCTGTAGTTGTTGTTTCACGTTATGGCCGTTCCAATGTGTACCAAGTTGTGCGTTACTTTTCTTCCGTCCTAAAGGCTGTGTATTCGGATATGTCGTTACACCAACCAACACGCCGAAACGTGGAACCTGTCCTTAGCGACCCAAATTGCTTACTCGCTCGGCATCACCCCTCCCTTCTTCTTCGCACGCCTGTTCCTCTGGACTCTGGGGCTTGTCATCCACGACAATGACGTTCACCTCTTATGTGCCTGCTCAACACGTCATGATTTTTGGATGCCCCCCCAACGTCACCCACGGCCCCGGGCCGCACTCCCGCAACGCACCCCCGAAAACCGGTACGCGAAAATAAAAAGAGGCGTGTGTCTGCAGCCGCTGTCCTCCCTGCTGTCGGACTGCCCAATAGCCGGGGATACGGCCGCCACCCTCCACGCCTTCTTCAACGAGAAACCCGCCGCACCGCTGCCGTGCGCGATGTGCCCGGGGGCAGCGGGAGGCTGCCGGCTGCTGGTCACTCCCTCGCCCCCTCCGTAATTGCTGTACTAAGAGATGAAAATCAGACTACGGCAGTGAGGGGCCCAGGTACGTGCCCAGTGGTTTCACCCTCAGTATTGCGGGTACCGGCACTTTCAGGTGACTAATCCACATTGATTCTTCGATCTGGACAACGTTGTACGGTATGGTTGCCGTTTTTTTCCGTAGAAACTTCTGTAGTGGGACACGTCTGTTGTTGCGATAAGTGAGGAGTTTGCATGGCGTATGCACCGGAAGGTTTTACGTCGTGTACGGGAGGGGGGAACTTTTATCGGCTCCCGCTCGCGGTTGCTCCGTGTGTTGCCCGCCTGTAGGGTGAAACACTTTTTTCCCGCTGAAGGACCCTCGAGTTGTACAACTGACTGCTCTGTAGTTTATGAGGTGCAAACTGTTGCGTTTTCCGATGTCGTTTTCAGGTTTAGGCTGGATGGCGCCTATTATTGCAGTCTGCCGCCGATGAGTTCACTTGCGATATTATTCATGTCACACTTTTCAACTTGTTGGGATTGGAAGCGGAATTTCCTACCGGGGCTGGTTGGATTTGTTTTGTCCGTTTTACCTGTTTCTATTTTGACGACGGCTGTTCCGGCTACGTTTTTCTGCAACGCGTGCGACTACGTTTTTTTTTTTTTGCATAGTCAAACGGAAAGGGAAGGTTTTTCCCCATTGGCGGCTACTACTATGGTGTCACTACAAGACGGGCAGCTACCGAAGCTACACACCTCGCCGTGGGAAAAGCCGACTTCATCCAGACCTTGGTTGACCTGTTTGCGTGTACATACGACGCGCTGCCTTCCTCTGGCTATTCAGGAATTCGGACAAGCATTGACGTGCAAAACAAAGTGGCTTGCGATATAGTCAATGAACATATTGTAGACTAGGAGGAGGTATTCCTTGTTTCTTCGCGAGCACAGAGGCAGTAGCAGGGTGTTCTGTGGCTCATAACAACAAGCACCTGCTTGATTCCCAATCATGATTTGCTTGTGTGTTCGTATGGCTTCAGACCGATCAGAGATGAGCTCAGTAGTCTGCAGTCCCCTCCTTTTTTCAACGTGCGTTGAACGCTCACGGCGCAACCATACAGAGCACCTCGATTGCACCAACAGGATGCAGCACAAAGCTTGTTTTGGTTTGCGAAAGGGTAGTGTCCCTGGGGGGTGATTCCGGCCTGCTCTCACGGCAACGAAAACCTCATGACTTCCCATGTCCCTCTCTCGCATCGCCGCAAACGACAAACGACCGCGTCGATCGTGGAAACAAGTGGCGAGAAGCACGCGCCACCAAAATTGCCAACCAGCTGACAGAGGGTAGGCATGGATGGGTCCAGCAAGAAGGTTGTGTGAAAAAAAAAACACCGCTTGCGACCCCTCCTCTCCCTAAACGGTGCCGTGTAGCCGAAGGCGTCAACCGTGCGGATGAACACAGTCATCAAGCCGTCGTCCCTCAGTCCCAACTTCCGGGACAAGCATGGTCTCGCCCGGCAATACGCTTCAATAGGCACAAATAACAAAAAAAAAAAGCTTGACGTATTTTCCAGCTGGTATTTCATAGGTCAACCGGTGTACGCGGTCAGTGCTTACGCGAACGCAACACAAAAAATTCACAAGAATCACCAATGTGGATACATACATGGGTTCGGCAACTTCGCTTGGGATTGTACATACGCTAGCTTCAGCACTCGAGGGCATGGCCACCCAGCTGGTGGCACGTAAGTGCACGATAGCCCGCGATAGGGGAGCTGGAACCTAAGGTAACTCTGCCGATGATACTAGCTAGCACAGTCCTACACTCTAAAATTCTCGGCCGTTCTATCCCTACGCCGGCTTATTCGCCGCACCAAGCTTCTGGAACAGGGTGTTGTTGACCTGAACGCATGTCGCATAGCAGATCCCGTGCGTTGGCAGGAAGGGTAGGTTCGCAAGGCGGGGGGTAGGGAGAGATATACAAACAGAGAGAGAGAGCCACACATGGGGATCGGCAGAGCGGGAGAAAACGGGTGAGCATGAGGGTGGTGGTCCAGATGTGACATGGTAAGAGCAGCAAGTTGATGTACCTGACACGCCGCTCTTGCCCACAGTTCCCTCGATAACATGCTGGCAAAGGAAAGATGGCACAAAAACCACAGAAAATAAATGCACATGTCAGCCCTAGATATTGCTGTATCACGACCCCACCATGGCACCAACGGCCCATGTGCAAAGAAAAGCCGAAAACAGCAGTACCTATGAAGACGCTAAAAAAAAAAAAGCCCGAAAACCTGTCTTACGCAAGGCCCCCGGGCAACTGCTGTTCGATTGAAATTGTTCCCATCAACGGGTTGAACAACAAACACGTCCATGCGTACAATGTGCAATTGTGTTTCGACATCAGTCATTTACAACTCTCATCTGTTTCGCCGGCATATGAGACAACAAACGCCAAGGTGGCTAACCTATACTGCACCTGCTGCCATCGAAGATTCTCGCTGCGCAATCGCTCGATCTCCCCCTCCAACTTCGCAACCTTGGCGGCCCTCTCCCCCTCCTCCCGCTCCTCCCTCCTCCCCTCGCAAGTTGCCGCTCCGCCGCCCCCCCTACTGGACTGCATCCCTAACCCCCGCCCCTGTATTGCGTCCAGGGCTGCCCGAACTCCTATCGTCGAGGCCGAGCCTCCTGTCCCCCCTGAGATTGCCCCGCTTAACCGCCCGCGGGGGCAGTGGGCGCCCTTCAGGACGACTGGGGTGCACCCCGCCGAGAAGTCGAAGCCCATCCCGCCAGCCCCAGGCTTGATCTTGTTGAGGCAGCCAGGGAAGGGAGGGAGACCGGGTAAGGAAGGGGTGTAATCCACGTGCATCGATAACACCGTTCATGGGTGATGACACGCGGCAGCGGTGGCGGCGGCAGCTTCTGGTGATGAGCAACAGGTTTTTGGTTGAATGCGGACAATGATTCACACACGCCCGCGAGAGCTCTTCCATCCAAAGGTCGCGAGGGGGGCTGGAGGGAGGATGCTATCGTTGCGCGATAGCTCCTGCCCCAATGACCACCACCAGCACCAACAGCACCAGCACCACAACAACAACAACAACAACAGCACCAGCACCAGCACCAGCACCAGCACCACTACCAACACCACAACAACAACAACAACAACAGCAACAACAACAACAACAACAACAACAACAACAACTACAACAACAGCAACAGCAGCAACTACAACAACAACAACCACAACAACAGCAACAACAACAACAACAACAACAACAACAACAACAACAACAACACCACAACACCAACAACAACACCAACAACACCAACAACTACAACAACTACAACAACTACAACAACAACTAGAACAACAGCAACAGCAGCAATTACAACAACAACAACAACAACAACAACAACAACAACAACAACACCAACAACTACAACAACAGCAACAGCAGCAACTACAACAACACCAACAACAACAACAACAACAACAACAACAACAAAAACGCGCACCTTCCCCGAGGACGATGACGATGACCTCATGAACTTGTCGAAGGGCGACAGCGGCACGGACTGCCGTTTCCTCCCGCCCGCCCCGGCGGCGCGCACCATCATTAGCGCTTCGGGCAAAGGCATCAGGAGTGCTTGGGACACCGCGCCTGCTGAGCGTTTGGTTCGTCCGGAGATGAGGCGGGATAGCAGTTGCTATCGAACAAGTGCACGACAGAGAATAGACACACCCCGTGGACAATTCTTACCCCCACATTTTCAAGCAGCTGTAGAACAAAGATGGAATTTGGCGCTGGGGTGCTTTTTCAGGGCCAAAATCACGACAGAGAACAGACGCACGCCTTGGACAAGTCTGGCTGAAGAAAGAAGGCCGAGTTATCCCCGAACGGAGAACATAGTTCGTGCACCGCACCCCGAGGCGTGGCTTGGTAGCCCCCCCCCCCTGGTTGTTTTCGGTGAGTACTGTCTGCGGGGCCTCTGTCCGAGCCATCCCCGCCCAAACGTCGACAGACAGGGTTCGGCCTCGCAAAAACACCGGAAAGAGGGAACCTACGCGCCGATACCGTACTCCCACAAGACGGTGTCGCATGCTACGGTAATCGCAATAGGGTTCTACCGGAGCAAAAAAAAAACGCACAAAATAACAGTGTGGCACACCCACCCCGCGCACTTCATTTACCGTATCCACCTCCGCCGCCGAAAAAATTGGCTGCCCACCTTTCCCCCCGACGACCCCCTCCGTCTTCTGCACGCACTGTCGGCTGGCCACGTGCCATGACCTGACAGTCCCGTCCTCCGACGACGACACCAACACCGACGAGTCCGCCGTCACCGACAGGCTCGTCACCGCCTTCTCGTGCCCATGCAACTCCTGCAGACCCCCCCCGTCGGCCCCGCTGCCTCCACCGCCGAAGCTTGCTTCTGGTATCCGTAGCCCCCACGACGGATCGTGCTCTTCGCTCTTTCGTGATAGAGCGGGGCACAGAGTAGGGGGGGGGGGGGGGGGG